GCTTTTACAAAAACCACTAAAGAATGCATAAAGTGACCCTTGCACTTTTGTTTTTGTTTTGTTTTGTTTTCCTTTTGTTCTTGCAAATAGACGAGGTTGCTGCAGTACAGCGGCCGCAGCACCCATGTAAGACTTGTGTAGTTGCATACAATGTTTGACTCCGGATCTGGAAGAGAGCAAACAGATGAAAACCAAGGAGTTAGAAGCAAGCGATCGGACAGGGCTGCTCCCCTCGCCTCTGCGCCCCCGCACCGCGCGTGCAGCTGATGCGTATGGGATGTAACCAGCCCCCCCCCCGTGCCCCTCGGCGGGCAATTTCTTGGGCACGGAGCTGAGAAAGCAGCAGCTCACCGGTGGTAGCCAACGCACGGGGTTAAAAATATGCAGATGGGATGCTCTCTGCTAATTGCACAACGATTTCTCATGGGCAGGATTAGCCCAGCGTAATGTTTATGCAGTGAGGAGACATTTCCGATACAGCCCCCCGGGCTGGATGAGATCTACGCTGCCCCCCCGGGCAGCGCCGGGTGTTCCCGTTAATTGCGCGGGATGGACCAAGGGCTCCGGCAACACGCGGAGGGCGTTTCAAGGAGCAGCTGGGATTTCTGGGTGCTGGAGCACGACGCGGGAGCCTGCAGCCGGTTGCAGGCAGCTGCACGCAACCCCAATGCTGATGAACAGGATGATCTCCCAGCACATTTTAGCAGAGAAAAGAAGCCATGTTCAAGTGATACGAAAGATGGGGAGGGACTCTTTTATCAGGGAGTGTAGTGATAGGATGAGGGGTAATGGTTTTAAACCAAAAGAGGGTAGGTTTAGATTAGATGTAAGGAAGAAATTCTTTATTGTGAGGGTGGTGAGGTGCTGGCACGGGTTGCCCGAAGAAGTTATGGATGTCCCATCCTTGGAAGTGTTCAAGGCCAACTTGGATGGGGCTCTGAGCAACCCAATCTAGTGGAAGGTGTCCTCACCCATGGCAGGGGGTTGGATGAGCCGTGCAGGTCCCTTCCAACCCAAACCCTTCTGCGATTCTATGAAAGAACACGATGCACCCAAAACCTTAAAGCAGGAAAATTTCCGCTCTCACAGTGCCCAACTGCCCTCAGAGCGGCTGACGCGGAGGTCAAGCCTCGCATGCACCAAGCAGCAAGATGCAAGGTCAAGGTACGCCGTGCTTGGCTAACACCCTCCATAGCCCCCCCCGAGAGCGAGCTGGGTGCCTATCCCTGCCAGGGAGCAGTGCTAAATGGCTCCTCTGGAGCCAAAGCATCACCCAGGCCAAGGGATTCAGCAGCTTTGCAGGAGGGAGAGGAGCGACAGCGGTGCTCGGTGGCTAATGAAGCGACGAGGGTACAGCAAGACCCGCCAAGGCAGCACTCACATGAATTGGCCAGGGGGTTTACCAGTGTGGAGGTACGTAGCTGTAGGTGGGGGTTCCTTGAGCCCTGTACGTTGGCACGGAAACTGGATGTGCTCCGATGGCGGTGTGTTGTGGGGTGGTCAACAAGGTTCCTGCAACAGCACGGAGAAATATTTAGCGAGGAGGAGAGCTGCGTCAGGGGAGCGGTACCCCCCGGGTACGGCGCTGCAGACCGCACCCGTGGGGCAGGCACAGCATCAGCTGCTTTTTTTTTTTTCCTTCTTCTTCTTCTATTCTCCCAAATATTATTCTCCCCATGAGACCTGAATCGCAGGCATTTGACTCATGCGGTTCGTATCAGCCAGCACCACGAATGGGATAAACCCACCTGAAGCTCCAGCGTATTTTCCATGCTACTTTCAGCCCTTAACTCATCTTTTTTCCATTTTTCCTTCACCCTAAAGCCCAGCAGCAGGGCAGCCACCATCCCGCTGACATCTGCCACCCGCTGAAGGCACCGGGCTAAATTGCAAAAACAGCTCACTGCAGCCATCTGAAATGGCTACGGACCAAACTGGAAGGGAATGAGGGTTGCAAAAGCAGATGAGGGGAAAAAAACCCAGCCCTTCCAGGGAAAATTAAGATGAGCTTTGCCACTCATTGCCCAAGGGCAGCAGAGCTCCTGTGCTTCATTTAAACCCACCAGAGCCGAGCACCTTGGGATGCAGCAGAAGGAGGGATCCTCTCCCAGCCGTGAAGCACAGGGACTGCCCGGTGCAGCCGCTTTTTGCAGAGGGATTTTGGGTGAGAATTTGCACGGTGCCTCCAGCAGACACAAGGAAGGCGACCACAGCCCCCAACGCCTCTGTTCTGGGAGTAACGGAGTGCTCAAAACAACTTCTCGGTTTCTGGATATCTCTCTACAAGTGCCAGGAATGAAATTTTAAGGCATCCCATGTGCATTAATTACATCTATCCACTCCTCAGTATCAGCCCAGTAAATCTCTCAGACTGGTTCTTGTCACACCCAGGCTGCACTATCTCTGCTTGCAACAGGGATCCCACCCCGTAACAGAGTCTTATTTCACAGCTAATGCAGATGTAAAAGAATGAATGATGCATTTCTTGGCATAATTCAATATATAACCCTAAGAACTGTTAATGAGAGGAATAGGGGCTTTGGAAAAAATAAACCCAGCCCATATCCTTACTTAACGTGCTACCAGTTGATTGCAGTTTGAAGCAATCCTGCACACAAAACGCCGAGGATTTGGGATACATAAACCAAGGTTAACGTTCGTTTCATCAGACAAAAGCAAGACCATAAATATCCTAAAAAAGGAACCTGAGGATAGAAATGCAACAGTATCTGAAGATGGAGAAACCTGGTTATTCCTCTGCTTATGGAACAGACAGGGGAGAGAATAATATATTTAAGGATGCTCTGGGATGGGCTACCCAGGGAGGTGGTCGAGTCCCCATCCCTGGAGGGATTTAAAAGAAGGACAGATGAGGTGCTTAGGGCCAGGGTTTAGCGGTGGGATGGCAGGGTTAGGGGAACGGTTGGACTTGATGATCTTAAAGGTCTTTTCCAACCAAAGTGATTCTATGATTCTATGCGAGAGTGCATCCCTCTAGGGTGAGCCAAACGAAAGGTCTCCTCTGCTAACCTGAAAACTGAGTTAGATCAGTACCAGGAGCAAACTCATTGATTTTTGCCTGCAAAGGAGCGATAACGGGCAAGCAAAACCAGCAGATGAAGCTGCCATTAGCTGTGTGCAAGGCTGCAGGCAGAACATCAGACACACGGAGAGTTCTTCATCCAGGACAAGTCTATGTCCCACCCAAGAGGCGAAACTCTGGCTCAGACCCCATGGAAATGTTCCTTCTTACCTGCTGACATTGCCATGGTGGTCCCAGCAACCATCCCCATGGCCACACCGTTGGTCCTGGGCGCAGCGACCGGGGCCGGATAGATGGCCGATGGGATGCTGTTGGGCTGAACCACGGTGGTGTGATGGATAACGTGAGGCTGTGCCGCATACACTGGCTGGGTATAATAAGCTCCCTGTTTGAGAAGGGGAAAAAAAAACCCACCGTCATCTTTGTCATTCGACCAAAACCGCAAGCCAAAGCAGTGAGTTGAAGCCCGGGGTTTTCTTTAGAGGCAGTCGCCAGCTCTGCGTGCAGTGGGTGTCAGCCCGGTAACGCAGACCGTGCCGTCAGCGAGGAGTTCCACCAGCTGCGACTGCAGATCCTGCTATGGAGTGAGTGGCGATGCTCTTGGGGCCGGTCCTGCTGGCGGTGGCAGCACAGCCCCACAGCCACCCCCTGCGCCAGATGGGACATAGGAGGATCCCAAAGCCCGCCTGTATTGCGAGCCCAGAGCGGCTCCGCTGTGACATCAATGAGTTCAACTTCCTCATCAATGACCTGGAGGAGGGGACAGAGTGTACCCTCAGCAAGTTTACTGATGACACCAAACTGGGAGGAGTGGCTGATCCACAGGAAGGCTGTGCTGCCATTCAGCGGGACCCGGGCAGGCTGGAGAGTTGGGCGGAGAGGAACCTGATGAAGTTCAACAAGGGCA